AGGCGGGCGGGTCTGCGCGGGGGACGCGGGCGGAAATGTCCGGCTCTCTGCCCCGCGGTTGCACAACTTCGGAGAAACTGAGCTCCTCCCGCCCCCTCCTTCCCTCGGGGTTTCCGGGGTACCAGGCCTGGAATACCCCGGCTTCCCCTCCCAGGTGCCTCGCCCGCGCCGCTGGGGAGAGGGGAGCCACCGCGGTGACACGCCCCCCCCCCCATGGTGTCCCCATGAAAACCTGGAGAGTGTGGGGCAGGTAGGGGTCCGGGCCGTCGGGATGGACGGCCTCGTGTGCCTCCTGTGGTTCTGTTTTAAACGTGCGCGGGCTTGGACTATTGGTTTCCTAAAAATTACATTTCCCTTTCTCCTCTCACGGATCACGGTTAGTACCAGCTTGGAGCCATGAGCTAAGTAAGATGAGTAATGGAGACTTCATACATGTCAAACCCTGCGATCGGGATTTGTGACCTGCAGGCACTTACAAGCACGGAGAGTTTGAAGTATAGTTTAGGGATTCTGAGCTCAGGGTGGATGGAGGTCATTGGATCATTGGATCATTGGGTCATTGGGGACCAAACATGGGTTCATTTCAGCTGCATAAACATTTCTTGGGTGCCCCACCCTGCTAGGAGGTTTAAGAGAACAGACATTCAAAATAAAACAAAATTGTATGGAATATTAAATAGCTTGGAGATGGTTTTAAAAAATATAAATATGCAGAGAGATGAGAGGCAGGGCCAGTGCTCCGATGAAGAACCGGGGAAGGTTTCCTGACAGATATTAGAGTTTTTGAAAGTAAATGATTGTTCTCCAGGCAAAGAAAGGTGAGACTAGCATTCCAGGCCAAAGAAACAGGAGAAAATGTAGAGTGTGAAGTTGCTTGTTTTTCTGGAACTAAAGGAAAGCACTCAAATAAGTGTAGGCAGGGAATGGAGAGGTGGACAAAGAGACCATGTCTCCAGAGCCCTGCTAAGAGTCTTTGGTGTGTGGTGTTTTTTGTGCTTTTTAAAAAATATATGTATATTTTATTCATTTCAGAGAGGAAAGGAGAGGGAGAAAGAGATAGAAACATCAATGATGAGAGAGAATCATTGATTGGCTGCCTCCTGCAACCACAGGGATCGAGCTCTCAACCTGGGCACGTGCCCTGACTGGGAATTGAACCGTGACCTCCCGGTTCATAGGTTGACACTCAACCACTGAGCCACACCAGTTGGGCTATTTTTTTGTTTTTGATTTGGTTTGGTTTTTGGTAGTGAGAAGAGTGTAGGAACATGAACAGACTCATATTTCAGGAGATCATTGTGACTGGGGTGGGGGGAGTGAGCACCATATTGAATAAACCAGAAGGTTCAAATTAAGGCTTTTTAAAAATCACAAAAGCTAGAAAAGGATCAACAAAAAGAAAAAATATCACAAGAGCTCATAACTATGTGTGGTGGCAGGTGACTATTAGAATAACCGGAGGGGGTCACTTTGTAAATTAAGTGTCTAACCACTATACTGTACACCTGCAACTAATATAAAATAATGTTGAATGTCAATTGTCAATTGTCATTGAAAAATAAACATAGAAACCACAAAAGCTGTCATCCATGGTGATTCATTGTACATCTCTACCTAGGCTTGTGTGTTCTTTTTTCTTATTATTTTAAAATATGTCTTTATTGATTTTTTTTTTTTTAGGAAGAGGGAAAGGGAGAGGGATAGAGAGATAGAAACCTCCATAAGGGAGGCATGGATCAGCTGTCTCCTGCCTGCCCCCCACCAAAGATTGAGCTGCCACCTGGGCATGTGCCCTAACCGGGGATTGAACCTGGGTTCATGGGTCAATGCTCAACTATTTAGCCACACTAGCCGGTGGTTTGTGTGTTCTGAAAACCACTCTTCCCTGGCCTTTCTCCCCCTTGCATTTCTCTTTTCCTGCTCTACTAGATTCACCTGATCTTAAAAACCCTCCCTGAGGCAGGGTAATTATGACATCAAATGGAATTCACCCATTCATCATATCTTTCTGTTGCCTATGTAATTCCCTTAGGTAATCGAATTAACTCATCACTTGTCACACAATTACAAGAATTGTGTGACTATAATGGCAATAGGTATTTTGTTGTTTAAAATAAGTATGTATACATGAATGTATTTAAAACAGGTAGATAGCTCTGGCCAGTGTGGCTGAGCGTCATCCCATGCACCCAGAGGTCCCTGATTAGATTCCTGGTCAGGGCACATGTCCAGGTTTCTGCTCCATCCCCAGTAGAGGGCGAGTGGGAGGTAGCTAATGCTGTCTCTCTCTGTCTCTCTCTCTCTCTTTCTCTCTCACCAATAAAAATATATTAAAAAAATAAAACAGATCACTTTAACTATATATACGTATATATGGTATCAAACAGCCCTGAGAAGCACAGAGCTGCTGCTTCTAAAAGCTTTCCATACCGTAGACCTTATTAACACCCTCGCCTCGGAATAGTAAAGTTTATATGGTTTGAAATGTTAAAGCCCTAGAAAACAATCTCACTGGTGAAGGAAACCAGAATATACCACCCCAAAGTATGCCGACTTTGACATAAGAATTTTTTTGAGCTGAAAGCAATTCAGAAGCAGCAAAAGCAGGCAGAGCTCTCTCTATCCGCCTTCCTGTCTAAAGGTAGGATGTATATTTCCTTTACTGGAGACTGCTCTAGATTCAGCCCAGAGAAGGCACCAGAGGAATCTGCAAACCTTGCTCCAATAGTCCCCCTCCCCCCCACTTGTTTACCTTCCCAGTTTCTCCCCCATTGGAACCTAAAACCATTTTCCTTTGTCATGTCATTTCTGTACAAATTCATTGTTGTTGTTTTTTTATCCTCACCCGAGGATATTTTTCCATTGACTTTTAGAGAGAGTGGAAGAGAGAGGGAGAGACAGAGAGAAATATTGATATGAGAGAAACATTCATTGGTTGCCTCCTGCACACGCACAAACCAGGGCCTGGGCCAGGGAGAAGCCTGCAACCCGAAGTACATGCCCTTGACCGGAATCGAACCCGGGACCCAAGTGTGGGTGGTGAATAAGTGAGTATCCCTTCTTCACTTTCTCTCCACCCCCATCAGCTGGCTGGATACCAATGGCCATGATGACCTTGGACTCCACGTATTATGGATAGAGACTGTCAACATAAGTCTACTTGACTCTCCCACCTTATCTCACTCATCTAAAGTGAGTTGACATGTGGTATTTCCTGTTTCTCAGAGAGGGTCAAGCAGATGTTAACACCGCTGTGCACAACAAACATATACAGGAGAACTAACGTGAATGAATTATTGCAATTCAATATATTTAGAATTAAATCAAAATAGTATGTTATTCGGTGAATGGCAGGGTCACGGGGATCAATCCACCCAGGTGGCATGTCAGCATCCTTCTCTTTCTGAGTCCTTAGAAACAGTCAAGTGAATTTATGAGTGAATGTGTGTAACCATTGCTCTGAAAAAAATGGCAAACATAGTAATGTGTACCATCTCTTTAGAAGTAATGTGCATAAGCTCTACTCTCCCTTTTGTGGTCAGAATACACTTAGAATATGCTCTTGCAGGGTAGAGATTAGCTAGAATCTCTTTCCTGCATATTCCTGCTTTTGGAAAAGGGGCATTGTCGCAATGTGGATGTCATGATTTGGGGTATCTGTCACCATGTGAATGGCCCACCCCATGTGTGTGTGTCTTTATTATGGCAGGGACCCCTGGGCTGTGAATATATTCTGGGCCCTGTTCCCAGGGATGGAGAGCAGTCCCCTCTGTTCACAAAGGCAGGAAATTTCAACACACCCTCGACATGTTTTGAATAGGACAGAGGTGACACAGTGAGCCAGATTTTTTTCTGGTGTCTCAGTTATCCTCACTTGTACAGAATTCACCTTTAAAGATAAATTGTTCATTTTCTTTTTTGGTTGTTCATCTGTCAGACTTTCTTCAGGGCATTCTAGAATGTGAGCTCCACGAGGTCAGGGCTTTGCTTTCTTCTCTGCTATGTTCCAGGCTTGGACAGGGCTTCATTCAGGTGCTTATTAACTACTAGAGCCCGGTGCACGACATCCTGCACTGGGCAGGGAGGAGGAGGTTCCCTCAGCCCAGCCTGCACCCTTTCGCAGTCCAGGAGCCCTCTGGGGATGTACGATTGATGGCTTAGGCCCGCCAGCCGTCAGCCTGGCTTGTGGCTGAGTGGAGCTCCCCCTGTGGGAGTGCACTGACCACCGGGGGGCAGCTCCTGTGTTGAGCATCTGCCCCCTGGTGGTCAGTGTGCATCATAGCGACTGGTCGTTCCACCATTCGGTTGATTTGTATATTACCCTTTTATTATATAGGATTTGCTGAATGTATTCGCCTCAGCAATGACCTTTTCCAGGAAATTTTCCCTAAAACCCCCAAGATCTGACATCTGTTTCACTCCTCTCCACCCCACAGCATCCTGGGCTATTTTTGTTACATATTTCACAATGTTAACTCGTCAGCTTATCTACTAGACTCTAAACTGTTTGCGAGCAGGTACTGAATCCCCTATATTTCTATCTCCAGTGCCAACCACTAGCACAAAATAAATGGTTGATACATATTTATTGAAAAATAAATGAATGCTTGATACTAGTTTAATACTATTTAATACTATCACCTAGAGAATCTGGTCTTTATACAATCGT